GTGTTTATGTGTATGTGTATGTGTGTATGTGTATGTGTGTATGTGTATGTGTGTATGTGTACACTAATACTAAAAAACGGCCCTAAAACCGGCAAGTTCATACTACTAAGATGTCAAAAATGAGATTGTCTTTGGTATAAATAATGCATATGTACACAAACATCTGTTTTTATTTACGCACTCAGATAGATCTGACGTTGGTTGTATGAAAGTGTCAGAAAGGCCTTTGGTGGTACACGTATTGCCATCTGTTTTAGTGGATGTACTATTTCCACCGTCCAAGGTCGGTGTATAGTGTAAAATTCAACAAAAGAAGAAAAAGGCCTATTTTCAGATGACGAAAATATAAACATGAAAATGGCTGCATAATAAATAAAAAAAACGCAAATCAGAACCTTGAGTATGGACACAATTTAATATCGTTCCAATAAAGTGTAAAGTCAATTCCCTCGATGAAAAATTGTTTTCTATAAGTTGGGCAAATCATTGAGCTTTTAAATGGCTGTTATATTATGGATGCAATGTGAATAAATAAATGGAACGAAATCAAATGGGAAAATTATATTTTGGTGAAGTGTAATTTTTTTGTGTGTGCAAGAGTGCAAAAGGTCTCTTGATTTTTACTGAGACAACTATTCGGAACAAAGAGAGTCATTCGACTTGTTATTCAACACATAGACAATTTGATCTAAAAAGTTGCGTGAAAACTATCTCGTCGACGACAACGACGACGATAAAATAACAACGACCGCAATAAAAAACAAAGACAATCGAATCGCACATTGAGCAAACGTACCGAACAATTAGTGTAATGTGTTTACGGCTAAAATCGAATGATTGCATACATCTCACGGTGAAAAAAGGAATTTCAGTGCATCCAACAACCATGTTTAGAATATGTTCATTTACGCTGTTGGGCTTTATTGCCATAAATGCTCCGCATCAATTTGTGTGCTGTGACAAATAACTGCGATACCTCAGCGAGACGAAAAACAAAAATAATAATTGAGTTGTATACTGTAAACGACAGACAAAACAATCGACCAATTAATTGTCGAAGTCCCAAACGCAAGTGGCCACAATAAACAGAGAGAGCGAGAGAGAGAGAGAGAAAGACACAAAAAACAGAAGATTGATAAGGATTGCTAACAAAGCATAAACGGCAAACAAAGTTGATTGAAAGTATCTCTGATTCAACGAGCGTAGTGAAGAGCATCAAGGAAAGCCACCATTATTGCGCATTTGACAACAAAGATTTGTTGCTAAAAATACCGCTCTTCGACCGATTCTAGTGAACAATCTAAAAATACGAATCAGCCAGCGAACAATACGTACTGAGCACGAAAAATTCGCACATAACACCAGTGGAGCCAGAATAAACATAAACAAAAATTATTCGGAAGTGTTATTCAACAAAGGAAAGGAGAAGAAAAGGAGAAAGAGGAAAAGAAATACGAGCACACTAAGCGTACACTGTGTACTTGCAAATTTTGAATACAAACGAAAGAAGGAACGAATCTCAACAAAATGAAATTGCTGGAAAATTCAAAGTTTGAGGCTATCAATAATGCATTGTCGATGCAAACCGGTGATAGCGCCATTGTTGGCCGAATCGAAAGCTATTCGTGCAAAATGGCCGGCACGGACAAGGCACTGTACAAGCGCTTCACAAGCGAAACCAACGCTCATGACTTGCAGGCCCTGTCGCCACCACAAGGATTCATGGATATGTCGCCGAATATTGGACGCGGCAGCAATTCTGGTGACGAAAACACGGTTCTATGCGATACAATCTCACGCAAATCCCTGTTCTACTTGATTGCAACGCTTAATGCAGCGTTCGAACCGGACTATGATTTCTCCGATGCTAAGGTAAAAATAGTAAACTTGATATCGTAACGAGATATTTTCAGCTGCTTTAAATTCCAATGAATGAATCACGAAATTTGTGATTCACGAAATATCAATCAATACCTGTTTGCTCATATCTTGCTCCTTATCTTTCTTTTTATCAACCATAGAGCCATGAATTCAGCAAGGAACCGTCAATACAGTGGGTCATGAATTCGGTACATTCAAACTTGTCGGCCATTGGTGGTGACCAGTTCTCAGCACTGCGCCAAGCACTTTGGATCGCAATCAATGACGAAATCAATTTGAACGAGTGTGATATTTACAGCTACAATCCGGACTTTAATTCCGATCCGTATGGTGAACCAGGCTGTTTATGGTCGTTCAACTACTTTCTCTACAACAAGAAACTCAAACGTATCGTATTTTTTACGTGCAGAGCAATCAAGTGAGATATTTTTTCTTTCATGTCAAGTAAATAGGTTTTGATATGTACATTCTGAACAATCGAAAAATTTGAATATTTCAGCTCTGTCCAAATGAATGCTTCAGACTCATCCGTTATCGGCCTTGATTTTGCTATGGAAGAGGGAGGCATGGTTTAAAATACAAACGTTTTTTCTCTCAATTTTGTTTCCTTTCAAGAAACTGGTACGTGACTTGCACTCATTGCATGTTCGATTCTTTAACCGATTGTTTTCTTTTTAATTTCAGAATTTTTTTTTTGCGAAAGATCTTCGTGTACAAAATAAGCAACCTTCAAAAAACCTTGCTGAATTTTACACTCATGAATATTCTTACGTTTTATTATTACTCGATTCAATAAATTTAAAATGGATAAATATAAAGAAACGTCTCATTGTGCGAGCTCGATAGTTTCACCGCTGGCGCCTGGCAGCTATCAGCCAATTTATCACGTACGACCCGTGGATATATACATATATTGGAGTTGGCAAAAATGCTTTGTTCGCTTTTTTTCTGTTGTGTGAAACTATCGAGCTCGCAATTTTGAACTAGTTTACGGATGAGTTACACTCTAATTTCGTAAGTGATATGAAAAAAAATGAACAAACAAACAAAAAACACTATGATAAAGAAGAAGAAGAAGAAGAAAAAAACATCTTAATAGTAGTGGTATTCGCTTTTCTAAGAAAATTTGATTGACGTCTGGATGGGCGCCAGTAAAGCTTTTTTTTTCATCAGAGGTGCATTAGCTTGGATAGATTTTCAGTCACCGTCAACATACAAAAACAAACAAACAAACACACGCATATATATACAACAGTTTTTATTGTGAAATGATACACAACTACGAAATCATCATTGATAGTACTTATAAGCTATTTTATTCATTCATTCTTACTGTTTAAGATACGACAAATAAAAAGCAAACCTTTTCACTTATTATTATTCAATATCGATTTGAACTTCATTTAGTTTGAGTAGAAAATTTTAGACTTGCAATGTGTAACAGGAGAATTTCACCATGTATTGGTATTAAAGTATAAATATTTGGACCAGGGAAAATTGAAAAATTTGGCACATTTGAGTTACTACATATACCCGGTTGACTACAAACTGATATCAACTGATACATCAGTGACAATAGTTGCATTTCGGATGGCATCTTAAACCGTCAACTCCACATCGACAGCCACCGGAAGTATCTCCTTTTCCAGCAGGACCCCATCTATAGCTGCGTGTTATCCAGCAAATTTCCGTCTTGCACATCGAACACTTAAGCCAATCGCAGCCCCATTTCTTCATGAGAACGATCTAAGAAAAAAAAGGGGACGATTTGCATACAGTTTCAGCGAAAGGTAATCAAATTTGTTCTCTTCTCAACGAAAAATAAACAGACACTTCTCACCTTACAAGCGGGACAGTTCATAGCTTCGCCATTTTTAATCATTTCCTCCAGCATTGTGTGTGTTGTGGCATTTTCTGGATTTTTGTCAATGTTATTTTTCATCATATTTTGATATTGTTTGCAATCGAGACCATCGTGAATGACTCGGCATGT